ATAATACCCTGACCGTATGTGAATAAGCGGAAACTTCGTTTCCGCTAATTCCCAACGGATCAGGATATTATTATTACCAAAAAGAAAATCTACAATTCTATGATCACCTATTTATACATTTCATTAATTTATTAGTTATACGGGGGACTAGCCAAAGAAATACATAAAATTCAATGATATCCAACGGGGATCTTCCCAACGCTGCTTCTTTGAAATCGCATAAATAATGTGAAATAAAATACGGTATTTCTGCGACATGTGTACCCGGGTATTCCCCTAGCTCATATTATGTACCCGGGTACTCGTGTGGGGGATACACCGTACTTCTATGATATCCTCATACTTATATACCCGGATATAAATCAAGATTTGGCATCCAAAATCGCCGCAGGGTACAGCCCACAGGGGGGTACACATGTCGCAGAAATATGGTAATAATATGAACATTCTACGTTGTTCTTCAATTATTATTACAGTATTACATTGATCTAAGTGTATAAACTAGATGGTATCAACGACGTACCCTATGTTAGATTGCGTATCATTTTTAAGCTTTTATGATATCGCGATTTGACATAAAAACAGTTTGATTTAAGGGTTATTTCTGAGTACCAACCCTCATGACACGTAGATTAAACTTTAGATCCGTCCAGATACAAAAAAAAAAATCTTTGAAACAGATAAAAATCCTGATGAAAAAAGTTTTTAAACGGATATCCGAATAGAACTTCTTATCGAATTGATCCAAGTTTTTCTATCGCATATTAAAGAAAAAAAAGGATAAGTGCAATAAATTCTAATCATCATAAAAAAAAAATAATAATTACAATTAGAATTTTTAAGCCAAGATCTATGCACGAAACACTATACTACTGTGTAAGGGGCAAAATCCGCCAAATACAAAAATATAATACATCTCAAACCAAAAAAAAATAGCATGCACAAATATAGAAAATTTCTTCTCATTTAATCATATATGAAAACCGCCAGTTTAATTACTAATTTATTTCACTTTTTACATCCTTAAGCAATCCTCTCAATCGTTCTACTTCTGCTTCCAATCCTTTCAGTCGTTCATTCTCAACCATCAATTCATGAACTTGACTTTCTAGTTGATCGCTCTTGTAACGTTTTTTATTACGATGGCGTCGAGCTGCTAATCGGTTACGTTCTCTTCGTCTAGCATCTCGTCGGTTTTCTTCTTCCAAAAATCGATTCCGATGTGGCCTATTGTAAATATCCGAATTTGTAGAATGCTGTTGTGATGACATTGTAGAAACCAACGTCGCGAAATCATTAGTATGTGTGATCCCTTGATTATTTTCTTCCATAGATGCATTATTATTATTGTTAGAGTACGCTGTTTTAATTGGTGATGATGTAATTTGCGTAATATTTTCCGTTAAGCTAGTAAACACTGCTTGACGTGATTCTGGTGGAATTATTGCAAGTTGACTTTGTTTCAATAATGTTGTTGAGTTTGATTCGACAAATCCTTCAATAGTTTGATCTGGTTCCCGTTGTTGTTGTCCTAATATCGAATGCGTGATAGGTGATGGATATATTGAAAGGTCATTGGATGTTTCGGTGACTAGCAATCGTGGATTTATAAAAGGTGTGGTAAAAGATGAATGTGGATTATAATCATAAACTGATGCTGCTTCACAAATTTCATTAGAGATCGTAGGTGTACGAAAGTTGACAGGATATGGTGCATGTGTGATATAAGAATAATGTTCTTGACAAAAGAAGTTTTGAAAATTAGAAAATTTGGTTAACTTTATAAACTTTATTAGAGAAAAATTGGAAAAATGTAAAATTCAACAAAGAAATCTCGTTCTTACGTTTAAAAGGTGGATAAAACCCGTGATTATTATAAGAAATCGAATGATCGCCCTGGAGACAAAGTTGTTTAATCCTTTCTGGTGGGTTCCACCACGATATATCATTAACATCAGACATTTTTCTTGTGTCAAAGATTAAAAAATCAGTCTAATTAAATGTTACTTTAAAAACTTCACATCTTAATATTTCATGCATTTCGCGGACTAATGATTGACGACAATAAAGTGAAAAAAAAAATTATTATCCGCATTAGATTATAGTTTTACAGCATTAGATTGGGCTTCCGATAACGAACACGATCGTATGTTTCAGTTTTGCACGAGGTCTTATTTCATACTCACGTCAACACTTTGTCAACTTTCATGTATAAATTTATGTATTTATATATCAATGAATTGTTACGTTATGTCAGGTTTGAAATCGTAAAAAAAAAAATCAGTTCATTTTTTTCGTAATTAGTGTTCCAATTGATAAATTTTAATTAAATTTTAATTGTATCAGGATTAATCCATAACCATGTGGTCTCCCTCTTTGGATAGTGATTGTATTACTAACAGTGATGATTGAATCACTTTTCGTCAATTATTAGCATTTAAAACGTCAGATAAATGTAATAAAAACTTCAACTTACAATATTATGTCACATTATCGCGGTTCTCGAATAGAGTTCTACATGTCCGACATTCGCGCCTAGTATAAATTTAAGACACGAACATAGCCTGGATAACGATGATAATAATAATAATAATAATAATAATAGCTCTAATTTTAGCACTATGATTTCGTGATTTCAAAAAAACTATCATATCGAGACAGATGTAAGGATAGACTAAATTTGTCCAATTTTGTAAATCTAATTCTATACGTACGTACGTGATTACTGGTGTTTCGATCTTTTCATGCTAACGACAAATTCCCAGATCTGCAAATGATCTCGTAGTTTTGGGATCCCTTACGGTAAAATAGGGAAAATAATTGGGTGTTAACTTAGTCGGGAAAGCGTGGTGAAACTCAAAACTCGGGTAAAATTTATGTATTCATGATAAATAAGCATTTGGACAAGCAATTTATTAAGGGGAACGACTTATGAGAATTTTCTTTATTAGAAGAAGAGTTCAAAGGGCATCCATCTCCTACTCTACCATCGGGGACTGGCATTTATATACATGTGCAGATAACACTGAGGAGACATTGTATGACTTCCTTATCCTCCGATAGTACCACCTGCCATCCGAAGGGCAAATCTGTCAAGCTTACCGAATAGCAATACAGTCGATAAATGATTAAATATAATAATTGTGGTAGATTAAAATGAAATCAGATTAAAATGAAATGGGCGATAGTGTAAAATAGACAAGCCACCGAAAAATACAAATTTTTGGGGTGCATTTTTTTAGCATTTTTTTAGGGATAGGATTAGGGTTTAGAAGCAGGATTTATAATAAACAAGTATAAATGTGTTTTAGAGGGTCAAATAGAAACCTCATTTCATTTTAGTCTGATTTCATTATGATCTGCGACAAGTGTGTTGATGAGTCGGAATTAGAGGTTGGTGTTTGATCTACAAAAACCGGTATATCGATACTGTAGACCTTTAATATAACCAATTAGGTGTTATGCCCAAGTGAGTAGGGTTGGGAGTAGTGATACGAATCGAAACAAATATTGTAATCGATTAGTTGGTTGAAAATTTTTTAAAAAATCGATTACAAATCGATTTATTGCGGTTTGCAAAATTTACAAAATTTTGCAAACTGCAATAATTAGTTCTTTAATAAAATTTTTATCAGATTTATATTCAGT